TTGCATTTTTTTCCTTACTTAAAATCTCATTATTCAAGAAGTGTCTTTCAAGCTATAATCAAATATTCAATTATTCTAGGTAAGTCAAAGATGTTCTTAATGCCCTAGGAGAATTTTACGTTTATACTGTTCAGATAATTTTAAAAAATAGAAGATATCCATTCCAAGGCTAGGGGGATGGGGAACGGACAGGGGGATGGGTGGGGAGAGGGGGATGGATTGATCCATGGACAACCTTAATATGCTGTCTGAGCAACTTAGCACAGTTTGTGGTGAAGGTAACATCCTGGAGGTTATTAACGTACTGGATAACGACACAAAAATGTGTTAAAATTACTACTGACACAACGCCATTTAAGATTCTGACTGTCGAACTGAACCAACGTTAAATAATTGAATTCTCCATTTATTTACCCAGGATCAAAAGGATGAACGTAAAACGGTGTACGGATTTGCTTCATAGATCCTAGAAACCGAAAACCACAACTTTAGACAAAATCATAACTAGAGATCCTCGACGCTTAACGGCAACAGAGGATGAAAAAGTAAAACATAACTGGAGATGGAACCTGGGTTTGTTATTGAGGTTCTGGGGACAAAAAAGTCAGCAGACTGGAGCGACTTTTGTGATCTTTGTCCAGAGACTTGTATCCATCACTGGAGGTTATAGGCTTGGGTTTTTTTCCAACACTCAATAGCGCCTACTAGAACACTTTAATAGTCTTACAAGAAAACTGAGGACCAGCTATCCCGAAAAAAAGCGCTTTCGTCTGCATCAATGTTGAGTTGGCCTACAATTTTTATAGAGATGTTTACAATAAACTATTTTAGTTTAAGCCTATCCGTACGCTCTTGGGTCATTTTGTACCCCTTGTGTTGAATTATTATCATTATAAAATACTTCTAGTTCCAAGATCTCTTTGAAACTTTCTGTATTTCTCAAAAAATCTTTTTGACAGACAGCTATGCAAAGCGTACGGATCGGATTAACGAGTAAAATTCCTCTTTGGAAAGTGGTGGCACAGAGTTCCCCACGTCGTATGGATACGATAGTAAAACACGACGTACGGATAGAGTTTTTAAATATTTTATTATGCACCCCCCCCCCCCTGAAGTTCCACGGCAACGGAAGAAGAACCATTTTTTAATGAAAAGTAGAGACAATGAAATGGTTCATGGCCACGGGTCCAGTGACGTATCCTGCTGAGACGTCTCCACCACTCTGTAGACAACACCCCCGGAAACAGGAGATTAGACGAGAAAAAAATGCAAGGCCAGCAGTTTGCAAAGAGCTTGTTCAGAAGCTCCGAGAGAGCCACGTCGTCTACATAGGCTACGCTTAATCACTTTGAATTGGAGAGAGGGAGAGAGAGAGAGAGAGAGAGAGAGAGAGAGAGGGGGGGAGTGTGTGTGTGTGTGCGTGTGTGTGTGCGTGTGTGTGCGTGTGTGTGCGTGTGTGTGATGGAGAGAAAGAGGGAGAGAGAGAAAAGAAAGAGAGAGAGACAGAGAGAGAGAAAGAAAGAGAGAGAGAGAGGG